TAAACTTATAGTCAAACTGACCGGCTCGATGAGACAGACCCAATGATATAAAAACTAGTTCAATCCAATCAAATCAAGCCCAGATCAAATCATTAAACCATTTGGAGTATTTTCGGACACATTTGGAAGGTCAAACGGATGTTGAATCTTGTGATTTCATAGTCGAATCTAGTGTCCCGACAAAACGAATCAAACGAGATCAAGATTGCTCAAATTTGACATCGTTAAGACACTCAAATGCCCATCAAATGCCCGCTAATTGAGGAAAATTCTCTGGACCATCTGATCAAAATGATTCATATTCTTGCATTAATTGCACCCAAAACACTATAAATAGAGTTCCTTCCCTCTTATGAGAGGGGGTGGAAGGCTGGAGAGAGAACTTGAGGCTTTGAGAAGGAGCTAAAGTCCCACATCATCCTTGCCATCGTCGTCGCCGTCGATCGCCATCGATCACCATCGACCGTCAGCGACCACCGACGACCACCGCAGCCCTCCGTCGATCACTGTTGATTATCACCGACCATCGTCGGCCACCGCCAACCGTCGTCAATCATCGTCAACCAAATACCGACAGTCAATGCTGTAATATGAAAAATATAGTTACCCTTTCCCGTTTGTGGGACTTAGAATTTTTATAATCATCAAACAATAGAAGATCTTCACAACTGAGGCAGTCCTCATGATTTTTTCCTTTCCGGAAAAATCTGGAGTTAGCTCTATTTGTTTCTCTTTCAGCTGTGTGTGTGTTGAATTTTCGTACAACGCTAAAACGATAATTCGTTACTCTAACGCCGCAGATTTTCTAGCACACATCAATTAATATATCCTGACACTTTATAATCAATTTTTATGGCACTTAAAGTTCATCATTTTATATATTTTTGTGAAGAAGATTTACTAATCGGGATTACAACGGTCTCATAAAAATTATTCAATGTTTATATATTAAATTTTCTTTTCTATATTTTCAATTATTCATTTATTGTTTATTAACCCACAGTTAAAGGCTAAAAAATATAAAAATATATTCTATTGGATATATTGAAGCATCTATTAATAAAATATATACTCAAATACTTAGATATGGGCATTTACAAGCACACCACTCAATTCCTATGTATTTATATATTTAACACCTAATATTTTCTTTTTCATTTTTATACCCGAATCTTTAATATCACATTAAAAATTTAAGATTAGGTGTTAGATATGTAAATACATAAGAATTGCTTGCATGCATTTTCTTAATCATTTTTCATTATGAGAGCGAGTTTCTTAATGTTTGATTTGGCTTCATAATATAGTTGGAGTTGGGTTAAATGGTCTTGATAATAGAAACAATTACTTCTCTTTTAGATGAAAGCTGTGGGAATTCATTATCCACACTATAATGAGCAATATATTTTGCTTTAGCAATTTAGTCCCATTCATTCAATTAATTACTAACAGCTATTATAGTTTCTAATTTGTGCTAGAAATGAACAAAAGCTATTATAGTTTCTATTTCAGCAACTTGTAGGATGAAAATATGGTTTAAGAAATTGATGATTTTATTTTTTTATGTTAGATATAAAAAAAATCTTATTTAAATGCATTTAAAAAAAATAAATTATAGACATTATTTTAAACCAAACATTTCGGCCATGGTTTAACCCGTAGAGCATAAAATTGACTAAATTACAAGATAGGCACGTAGTAGTGTGCCAAAATGGGACATAAATGCCCACCCCGATCATGTGAGGGCATATGCTCCCATATGCTCAACAGGGTGCGTGGTGTTAACGTGTTTGTGCGGGTTGTATAGAACAGACATGCAACATTGTGACTTTCAAATGCAACTGGTAGATCAATGGTATCAGGTCGTTGTAGGCCGATCGATTGAAGTGACAGAGATCGCCGATCGATGAGTTCAGGCCGTTGGAGGCCAATCGATGTGATTAGGCCATTGAAGACCGATTGATTGAAGCGATGGAGATCGCCGATCGATGCAATCGGGCCGTTGGATGCTTATCGATCGAAGCGACAAAGATCACTGAACGATGTGATCAATGTGATCGGGCCGTTGGAGGCCGATCGATCGAAGCGACAGAGATTGCCGCTCGATGAGATCTAGTTGTTGGAGGCCGATCAATCGAAGTGATTGAAGATGCAAAATCAGAATTCGATGCACATCAAAGAATCATTCGATGCAAGCCACACAAATGTAATCACATGTGAAGACGGAACCCAGTCACCCAAAATGACGTGGTCAGCCATGTTGATTGAACCGATAGTGGCTCATCATTCGAATTCGTCTTGGGTTAACCTTTATTAATGCGCCGTCTAAAAATTTATCCAATCAAACATGGGTGTCAATGCAATATTTAAGTTTAAATTTTCTTATAATTAAACACTTATCTATTCAAAATATATTTTCAAGAAGGGGAGTCCAATGAAGCCGAATATTAATTTATTTAGGGATCATCAAGATAACTAAATGATAAGAAAATCATATTAA